GTTCTTCGTTTTGTCAGCGCTTCATGTTCATTACCCTTAAAATAGTCATAATAAAACAGAACTATTAGAGCAACGGGAGAAAAAAAAAAATCAATTAGTGAGACTGCACAGGCACATTCCTCTTTCTCAACTAGCTTTAGCCTAAATCTGTCATACTCAATTTCTTGGCAATGGGATTGTTTCCACTTATTTATTCCCCCCCCCCCCAGAAAACAACAACAACAACAACAACAACAACAAAAACTGCTGCACTCAGAATACCCAGTTTGGCCTTCAGGCTCATTAATGACGTTTGATCCCCAACAGTGTTCACTGGAAGGAAGTTCATCTAAAAGTTCCAGCTCTGCCATTTCCCTCTTAATTCCAAGACACTGTTTACCTTTTTTTTGGACCCAAGTACTCTTATGCAAAGCATGTTATTATTTTAGTCTGTGTAGTGCAGACAGAGAAATGCAATAAAAATTTGATTTAAGAAAAATATGAACTGAAAGAAAAAACCTCAACATATTTTTTTTTCAGGTATTAATAAAAATCTCCCTTTGAGTAAACACAGAGCTTGTGAAGGAGAAATGAGGCTTCTGAACTAGCAGCATCAGCAGTTAGTGTTCAGCCCTCAGGTTCAGCAGTTACAAGCCATGTTGATTACTTACAGCAGCGTGCAGCTGTACTGAGTGGTGACCTCACAAGCATCACACACCAGAACAAGGTTGCAGCTGTGAGGGGTATGGAGTATTCATCAAATTCTAGGTTGACCAGAGAACAGCATTTTGACCCAAGTTAACAATTACACCTTGCTTCTCTTGTTATGCAATGGCCTTATGCCTCAAAGGTTTTCAGCACTACCAGGGCAGTGTCAATCACAGACTTGGCTGGGAAAAGTGAAGGTAAAAAAGGGGAAGGTGCCCCGGCTCAGCAGGTTCGTAGTTAAAAAAAAAAAAAAAAAACCCTCCATGGTGTTCTGCACATGATTCCAGTGACTACCAACAAAATTGGGCTCCGGAGAAAAAGAACAATCCACTCAAGACAGCAAACAGATCAGGGGACACAAGCTTCAAGGCCTCAGTCAGCGGATGTACAGTTTACTCCCACACACCTGCCTATCTGTCAGGAGCTTAAACTCATGGTCAAAAACACCACTCCTAAATCAAATATGGACCTGATATGCTCATGTCTTTAACATTCTCCTGCAGGAGATGACATATGGGAAGTAATCGTGTCCACCCATTTTATTCATGCTCTTCCAGGCCCAAGGACATGGCAATGTGATGATAGACATCTCAGAGCTTCCACCACCTCGCTCTTTCTCAGAAACATCCAAATCAACAGATATCAGTACTTCATTCTGAAGCATGATAAACATATAGGGTGGTTGAAAGAGATGAAACATAGATTTCATTGGTGTCTGGAGGAAAAAGTGAGCACTGAAAGAAGAGAAGATGGTCCTCCATTTTAAAATGAGGAAAAATTATACCTACCTCCATTCCTGCACAATGGAATTTACTTCGGTCACTGGAAGGATTACATACTACCTGAGATAAGGCTTAATGTACGTTCCCAAGCATTACAACTGGGTTCAGGTATGCTTTCCTTGTTCTTTACTGTCATGGGCCAAACAGGCTGTCAGTGGAACACAGAGGTTCCTCCTCTCATAATGGCTCATAACTTAGTTAACAGTAAAATACATCCTTAGCACAGCCAAAAGCTTTGGAATCACCATGATTTCAATGCAATGAAAGGTCAAAATGTACTCATATTATCCATAATATAGCTTTGTTTCTCAGATTTAGTTGAAATTTGTCAACACAGGCACAGCCATTGTAACAAACAATACCTGTGGGAAAGGACAGAAGTTGAGCTGCATAAACACACAATTTGTATGAAATTTAAAAATAATTAAAAAAAAAAAAAACACGTCTGCTCAAAATGTCTTCATTAACAAAACCAATAAGATAACATAGTGAGATAGTGAGAAGGTACTGGTCAATATTAAAGATTAAGATGTCTGCACACCAGTCAGTGTCAAGTTTTTCATGTGTGACTAGGTGAGCCCGAATAACCTTGCTTTGCCAATACATACAAAAAGGTTGTCTCAAGCCTGAAGCAAGTAAACCAAAAAAAAAAACCCACAGGTGTACATCTGAACTTCTGTGAGCAGGCTGCAGAAGCTGGTATCAGAGAGCAACTAGGAAAAGATAGCATGATAGACATTGCTTGGATTTGGATTCAACTGCATGAAGTTCAAGAAGGCCAAGTGCCGGGTCCTGCACCTGGGGCACAATAACCCCAAGCAGAGCTACAGGCTGGGAGATGAGTGGTTGGAGAGCTGCCAGGCAGAGAAGGACCTGGGAGTGATGGTGGACAGTCGGCTGAATATGAGCCAGCAGTGTGCTCAGGTGGCCAAGAAGGCCAACGGCATCCTGGCTTGTATCAGAAACAGTGTGACCAGCAGGGCTAGGGAGGTGATCGTCCCCCTGTACTCGGCTCTGGTGAGGCCGCACCTCGAGTACTGTGTTCAGTTTTGGGCCCCTCGCTACAAGAAGGACATCGAGGTGCTTGAGCGGGTCCAAAGAAGGGCGACGAAGCTGGTGAGGGGCCTGGAGAACAAGTCCTATGAGGAGCGGCTGAGGGAGCTGGGCTTGTTCAGCCTGGAGAAGAGGAGGCTCAGGGGCGACCTTATCGCTCTCTACAGATACCTTAAAGGAGGCTGTAGTGAGGTGGGGGTTGGCCTGTTCTCCCACGTGCCTGGTGACAGGACAAGGGGGAACGGGCTAAAGTTGCGCCAGGGGAGTTTTAGGTTAGATGTTAGGAAGAACTTCTTTACTGAAAGGGTTGTGAGGCATTGGAACAGGCTGCCCAGGGAGATGGTGGAGTCACCATCCCTGGAAGTCTTCAAAAGACGTTTAGATGTAGAGCTTAGGGATATGGTTTAGTGGGGACTGTTCATGTTAGGTTAGAGGTCGGACTCGATGATCTTGAGGTCTCTTCCAACCTAGAAATTCTGTGATTTCTAAACTTCTTATTTTTTCAATTTTTTACATCTGTTTACTATTATAGCAGATACTAACTACTTTTCTCCCCAGTCAAGGCCTCTTAGATATTCATCAGAACCAAAGAATAATATGCTACAAATAGATGTGAAATAGTGAGATAACAGATTGTACTTTGGTTCTGTTTTAGGAATGATGTTCAGAAGAAGAAGAGACACAGAAACTCTCCTTCTTATCTACTGTTGTTCTTAAATTGTACAGATCTGTACACTGTCACAAGAAAACTGCAGAAGCGAAAGGGACAGATTAAGAACCTGAAGAAACCTTAAGGACAGAGGAGAATTCTTATGTTACTGTAGACAACCACAAGAAGATAGCTAACTTCCAACCTCTGGAAGATAGAAAACAGATGACACAAGAAGAAGAAAGTAGACAGAGTAACTGTATTTCCTCTTGTACAACAAACACTCATTATAAAAGTAGCTGAACAGGCAGGCACAGAATAAAAGTCAAACAAGGAAGTGTGCATTAGAACTCCCCTGGCTTAACATAAGCGATGAGTTTAGATGTGAAAAACTAAGTCATTAAGACATTAAAGTGAGAAAGGAGGGATCAAGGAAGCTGAGACTCAAACTTGTTCTTTCCAAGAGCTGAGAAGGGGGAGAGAGGAGAGAGAGGGAAATTAGGAAGCAGAAAAAAAGAATATAGACAAACTGAAGACTGTGATGTGAAACTTCATGTGTAAAGTAGATGAAGAGACCAACTAGCAAGGAAAACATGATGGGGGCAAGTCACTTGATTTTTATCCCTTAATAGGCATAACTGTCATGACATGTCTAAACAGTCATGCCAAAAACTCCATCTACCTTATTTGCTACCTTTGCAGTTCAACGCCCCTAAGAGTTTTATATTATAATCTATGCACAGGTCACCCTACAACCCTTGTACAAGTTTAGAACTTTGAAAACTAATACAAAGGATGCTAACAATGGGGAACAGTGTTAAAAACTAAAGTTCTCAGTGATCATTACACTAAAATGCATGGTAGTTTAGGTTAGTGAGCATCTCTTATAGCATACAAAGCCATAAAGCACGAATTGTGATAAAAAAGTGACTTTTCAAGATTAAGGTCATAATTTTGGCTATAAACTGCTGGGATGCCTATTCCTGATTTCCCTTTCCTCCTAGCCTGCTTATTCTTTCAGAACTCTCCCACCCACCCACTGACCTTTTGCTTATACATACGTGAGGTTGCACCGGGACAGGCACAATGGTATAGCATTGTACTTGTTTACATAGGATGAGATTGCTTTGTTCGCTCTGAATGGCAGAGTTCCAAGACAGTTGCATAAAGCCACCTCCACGAGCTGCCAGCAAAATCGTCATCCCAACAAGAAAATAGTATGGAGTTTGACCAAGCAAGTTATGCACAAGAACTGTGGAAAGAGCCGCTGCCAAAAAAAAAAAAAAAAAAGTTCTTCTGGAATTGAGCACAATTACAGTCTAATAAAAACTGAGGCCAAATAGGCATTGTCAGAATCGAACCTACCAAGCGTTCAACATTTTTGGTTGGTTGCTCGTTTGCTTGCAAAGAGCGCCGTGGTTCTTTTAGTTTTGCCTTGAAGGTGGCAATTTTATGGCACTACTGAGAAACAAAGTTTCTCGACGACAGCAGCACACAAGGCCGGGCAAGCACCTGCTTTGCAACAGTAAGCAGGTCAGAAGTCCCGAAGTTAAGTCGAGTCACAGCAATCCTCTCCGCCACGGTATAAATAGGAGCCTGGCGAAGAACCACCGCGCGGTTGCGCGGTGTCCGCCCGCAACCAGGTAACCCCCTGCAGACCCAGGTGCCAGGACACCAGGCCGAGCTTCCAGGGCAGAAACCCGCCGCCTGTCGCCGCCGAGAGGCAGCAGGTGCGGCGCGGGGAGGCGGCGGCGCCGCACCGTGCCCATCGCCGGGCTGCGGCTCCGAGGGGCGACCCCGTCCCGTCCGGGCGGCCCCCCGGCACTCACCATCTCCTGCCGCAGGAGGTGAAGTTTCGTCTCCAGCCGTGCGAGGGCGGCGGCGCGGCGGCGGCGGGGGCCGGGGGCCGCAGCGGGGCCGCGGGCGGGCTCGGTGGTGGCGGCGGCGGTGGCGGCGGTGGCGCGGCCCGGGTGCTCCTCCCCGCGCAGCGGCCGCGCCAGGCTCTCGGGCACTTTGCGGCCCAGCTTCTGCTCCACGTCGCGGAGGTCGGGGGGGCCGCTGGGCTCCATGGCTGCCAGCCTCACAGGGGCCCGCGGCGCCGGGCGGGGCGGCACCGGCGCTACCCGCGGCCGCCCGGCCGCTGCAGGGGCACGGAGGAGCGGGGACCCGCGGCAGCGCCGCTGCCGGCGCCCGGGTGGCCCGCGGCGGACATGGGGGTTCCCGGCACGCCGCCCCCCGCCCTGCCCTGCCCTGACACCGGGTGGGGGCACACAAAAACTAGCGAGCGGCAGCGGGGGGGGGGGCAGCTCCCCCGTGGTCAGGCGGCCGGAGCGCCCCGACCCCGCTGCGGGACCGGGCCCGCGACGCGCGCTGTCGGCGGCCGGGCCGGGCACCGCGACCCGAGTCATCGCGCGCCCCGGCCCGCTGCAACTTTAAAGGCCGCTGGCAGGTGGAAGAGGCGCGCCCCGGCCCTCCTACCGTAATGTCGGGACTAGAGGCGCAGCCCCGCGGCCAACAGCGCGCACCCCGGGCCGGAGCTGCCGGGCAGGGCTGAGGAGCGGCGTGAGGCTTCGGGGAATGGGGAGGGGAAAAGTGGAAAAAAAAAAAAAGGAAAGAAAAAAAGAAAGAAAAAGGAAAAGAGAGGACAGAAACGGGAAAAGCAGAGGAAAAGGGGAAAGAAAAAGAAGAAAAAAGAAAAGATAAAGTGAGGAAAAGGGAGAGAAAGGAAAAAAGGGGAAAAAAGAACAGAAGAGAAAAAATAAAAAGGAAAGTAGGAAAGAAGAAAAAAAAAGGGAAAGGAAAGGAAAGGAAAGGAAAGGAAAGGAAAGGAAAGGAAAGGAAAGGAAAGGAAAGGAAAGGAAAGGAAAGGAAAGGAAAGGAAAGGAAAGGAAAGGAAAGGAAAGGGAAAGGGAAAGGGAAGGGGAAAGGGGAAAGAGGAAACAAAAAAGAAAAACAACCCCTAGAGCACTGTGACCTTAGACCACTTTCTAACAGGGCTAGATGTATCTACAGGGTGAATGTTATTTCCACTTGTCAAACAGGTTTCATTGCAGACAGGCTGATTTTCCCCCTTCCTCCATCACCCCATTATTACTTTTGTACCCCCATCCTCCCTTTAAAAAAAAAAAAAAAAGTTTGTTTGCTTCATGGGTCACCATAACTGTGATAACAAGGTATGCGCTGGCCATGCTGATTGCAGTGGCAGAAGTGCCCTGGTAATCCTTGGCCTGGTGTGTTGCTCCATGTACCTGTCATAGCACTGAAAAAGACAGTTCAGTGGTGAAACTTGCAGTTTGACTAGTCCCATCTGCGGAGCTACAGCTGACGCATTGGGGGGGGGTTGAGAAATTTTGGCCAGCCACTCTAGTCACATCACATTTCCAGCAACTCAAATCACAAAATGTAAGCCTAGGAAAACAAAATATTGTTACAACAAACTGGATATGCCCTGTCCAATAATTTCATCAGTACTTTACGAGTTGTTAATCAGAGAGCTTTGAAAGGGTTTAGCACAGCCAAACAAAAGTCCTGCTGGCACGACTGAGAATTTCATAGGTGGATTGATTTAAGACCAAGACACTTATCCTATCAATATACTCAAATTATCTGGAAGTCCTCTGCTGGAGACATACACAGAGCCTTTTATCTCTTGTATTTGATGGGTCTATTTATTTCTGGAAAAAAAAAAAAAAGAAAAAAAAAAAAAGAAAAAAAGATTATTATCAGAAAAGAAAGGCAGAAACAACCACACACACAAAATCAGAATCGTCCTTATGGGTTCCCTCCACCCCAGTATGTGTTATAAAGTTCTGTTTTAATTTCTGTATAATTGGAGAACAGTTTCTGTATATCATTATATCAATACTGATTTTTGCTGTTTTGTAAATTAACAAGGATTGTGCTGAAGTTCTTCCTGTGTGAACTATGAACATCTTGTTAAGTGAAAGTTTAAGTTTATATTACTGTTGCTACACTACTGAACTATAAAAGGAGGCTTTGTTGTACAAGGAGCAGGTTATATATTTATATACATATATATATACTTTATGTATATACATATGCACTTTATATATTAATATATATAAAGTATGATTAAAATATATTTGAACTTTGTTTTTAAAATGAAAATATGAGAAGAAACAACCAAAGTTTCATTTTTTTTTTTTTTTAAAAAAAAGTGGTCCAATTCATAAAAATTTCCACAAGCCCTACTGTAAACAATCTGAAAATAATGAAAACATTTTTTCTCATTGCTCCAGATGAGCAACATTCAGAACTATATGATGTACCTTATGAATTCAGGATTTTATGCTTTACTATCTTATGGTGTGATTCCCATCTCTTTGCATTAGTACACCAGCATGCCAGTCAACGGGTTTACTCTTGAATTACAAGGGTAAAAAGATGTATCTATGTTAAACCCACCCTCTCAGATCTTCAGCATTTCAAGATTTGATAGACTGATCTGTGTTTAGAAGAAATAGTTTTCTCTTTTAGTAAACAAAAGCAGTACTTAAGCTGTATTTTCATTCTGTAAGATGAAAATCCTCTATCTTTATTTTAATAATATTGTTCTCTTCTGCCCTGTGCTGTCCAATCTTCAGGTGAGATTCAGAGTTGTTTTGAATCCTTTGTTGTTTGAATATGGCCATATAGAGAGATCTTTGCTAGCATTTTCAGTGTTTTAGCTCCTTGTTATATCCTCCTACTAATCACTTCTTCTTGGTAGTTCACTCCCTCAAAGTGTCAATGCTTGAGTAGCCCAACAAATGAGGCTATCTGACCCCTTGATAGGTACTGCAGTGGGTTTACGTGGCAAGGTTTTGGTAGCAGGGAGCCATAGGGGTGGTTTCTGTGAGAAAGATCTAGAAGCTGCCCCATGTTTGGGAAGGGCCCCATTGTTTTCCAGAGCTGAGCCAATAAGCGATGTTGTTTTGTGCCTCTGTGAGAGCATATTTAAGACAGGGAAAAAAAACACTGCACCACACAGCAGCTGGGAGAGTGAGAAAAGGCCTTGCAGGCACCAAGGTCAGTGTAGAAGGAGGGGGAGAAGTGCTCCAGGTGCCGGAGCAGAAGTCCCCTGCAGCAGGGGACAGGGTGAGGACCATGGTGAAGCAGGATGTCCCCCTGCAGCCCATGGAGTACCACAGTGGAGCAGGGTTCCACGCTGCAGCCCGTGGAGGAGACCACGGTGGAGCAGGTGGCCCTGCACCGATGGAGGCTGCCGCCTGTGGAAGACCCCTGCCGGAGCAGATTCCGGGCCGGACCTGTAGCCCGTGGAGAGGAGACCACGCAGGAGCAGGTGACCTGGCAGGAGCTGCTGCCCACAGGGGAGCCAGGTTGGAGCAGTTTTCTCCTGAGGGATGGACCCCGTGGTACTGACCCATATCTGGAGCAGTTCTGGAAGAGCTGCTGCCTGCGGGAAGCCCACGCTGGATCAGTTCATCAAGGACTGTATCCCGTGGGTGGGACCCCACAGCACAGGGGATGAGAGTGACTGAGAAGGAGCAGCAGAGAAGAAGTGCTGTAGACTGACCATAACCCCAATTCCCCCGTTCCCCTGCACCGCTCGGGGGAAGGAGGTGGAAGAGGGTGGATGGGGGGGGAGGTGCTTTTGGTTTCTTTCCTTCTCTAGCTTGTCAGTAATGAGCAATAAATCTTACTATCTCCTTATGCTGAGTCTGTTTTGCCCATTACAATAATTATTGCGTGATTTTTTCGTCCTTATCTCAACCCTTGAGCCCTTTTCTCATATTTTCTCCCCATTCCTCTTTGAGGAGGGGGAGTGAGAGAGTGGCTGTGGTGGAGCTCGGCTGCCCATTCGAGCGGAACCACGATAGGTACACAGTCAGTTTTCTTGCTATTTCTTCTGCATCTTCTACCAGATGTAAGAGCCAAGGTATAAGTTTCATCACGTGACTGTACTGAGCACTGGCCTAGGCTTCCTTAGGTCAAACCACAATTTTACATTTCCTAAAATAAGAAGTTGGAGAAATAAGCACTTTGAATGTAAACTGGTGATCCTAAAAGATCGCACTGTTTAGTTTTCATTGACACTTAAATCTATGAGATCTGAAATGTGATACTGTGTTTGTCCTGAAGGGTGAAAATATTTTAAAGAAAAACCTAGTGCCATCCCACAACACACCTACATTTTCCAAAGGTCACATTGTCAGCTTGGCTTTATGAACTTCAGTCACATGGTTAACCTGCTTACTGCTTTTCACCCTGTAAGGTAAGATCCTTATTATAACAGTATTTCTTTGCAGATTTAGCTCCTGAATGATTGCTGAGGCTAATCACATAGGAGTTGCATGGACAAAGGTCACTAAACAGAACAAAAAAAAGACACATTGAAGAGGAAGAATTTTCAGTTTATGCTTGCCTTCCAGAAGAGATACTGCTTATCAAGGAGTGTTAGAATACAAAGTGGGAAGGAACAGCAAAACAAAAGCAAATTGGCTTAAAGGCAAGTTATACTTAAGGGATGAGACAGAAGCTCAAGTTATTTATATCATCATTTTTAATAATAATATATATTTGTAATACATTTCTTTTAATTCTATAGTAAATAAGCTATTTAAGATGTCTCTGAGGTCAAAGGTAGTTGGAATATGATCCTGCAATGCAGGAATTTTGTTGAAGCCAGTTCCAAAAGGGGCATGTATAGTCAGGCATGTATAGTCCCTCGTGCTGTCCAAGATGAATTTGATTTAACAAAGTTCTAAGTATTAGCTCAATCCAGAGTCTGCTCAAAGCTTCCGTTGTACAGTGCAAGCAATCAGTTGGATCTGGACCTTGGGCCACATAAAACTTAGCTATACTGAGCTGAATGTTCAGATTTGTCATTATTGGTTCCTCTCTATAAGAACTATACTGGCAGGATGTCTTGACAATAGTCAGCAGGTACCTAGGTCCAGATGGATTTTCTACTTCCTTAATTTGTTGATAGCATCAGACAGATTTCTATAATACAGCATGAAGTTTGGTTGACATTTAACCTGAAGTTATGTCATATCAGACTGTGGATGAATAAGGATTAAAAAAAAAAACAATAATAGTAAGATTTCTGGCAGGCAAACAAACAGTTTTTTGTAAGGGTTATTTTTTGTGATGTTAAAACAAATAAACAAACAAAAAACTCAGT